TTGGCCTTCTGCAGCGCCAGCTTCTGGTTGGCGGCCTCCTCCTCCTCCTGCTCGTCCTGCGGGGCCGGGGGCGTCACCGCGCGGCCCCCGCGGCCCCCCGCGGCCCCGCCGCCCCTCACCTTGGTGAGCTCCTGCGCGTTGGCCAGGTTGTCCACCGCGATAGCCAGGAAGACATTCAGCAGGGTGTCTGGGCGCCTCGTCAAGGCCAAGGGACAAGGAGGGCGGCCGGGAGGGGGCCCCGGCGTCCTGCTGCCCGTCCCCATCCATCCCTGCTGCCCTTTCCCTCCCCTTGATCCCCCCGGGCCATGGCGGGACAAGCCCCCCGATCCCCGTCCCCTTGATCCCACCAAGGCGCCGCGGAGGGGGCCCAGGCGTCCTGCTCCCCGTTCCCACCCATCCCTCCCGCCAGCCGGGAGAGGGGCCCGGGCGTCCTGGCCCCCCGGGCGTCCTGGCCCCCCCGGCCGCCGGCGGCGCCCCCGCCGGGATGCAGTTGCCGAAGAGGGTGAGGACGATGAAGTAGACGGAGAAGACCATGCCGCCCTTGACGCCGCCCTGCGACTTGATGCCGTCGTACATGACGGCGTTCCAGTCCTCGCCCGTCAGGATCTGGGGGGACGGGAGGGCACCGGGGGGGGGTCCCGGCTCTGCCTGTCCCCCACCCCGGCTGCGGGGTCCCCCGGGCGCCCCACGCGCGGGGCCCACCTGGAAAACGGTCATTATGGCGGCCGGGAAGGTGTCGAAGTTGGTGGGAGGCGTCCCGTCATCGAAGTTGAACCTGGCGGGGGGCGAAGGGGGTGGCAGAGCAGCCGGCGCCCGCAAACGGGACCGGGCACTCAAAAACGGCGCCCAGCACCCAAACCCGGCGCCCAGCACCCAAACCTAACACCCAGTGCCCAAACCCAGGGTCCAGAACCCAGGCTTGGCACCAAAAATGACATCCAGTGCCCAAATCCAGTGTCCAGCACCCAAAAATGGTACTCAGCACCCAAACCCGGCACCCAGCACCCAAACCCGGCACCCAGGGCCAGCATTGCCCCCACCCCTGGGCACCCTGGGCCCTCTCCCAGGCTGTTTCGGGGCCACCTCATCCCCCATCTACTCACTGCCCCCCAAAGAGCTGCATCCCCAAGAGGGCAAAGACGACAATGAAGAGGAAGAGGAGGAAGAGGAGGCTGATGATGGACTTCATGGAGTTCAGCAGGGAGACCACGAGGTTCCGCAGGGAAGCCCAGTACCTGGTAGGGACAGGACGCAAGAGCACCCAAGGGCACCTAAGAGTGCCTAAGAACACCCAAGGGCACCCAAGAGCACCCAACGGCACCCACGGGCCCAAGGGCACCCATRGGCACCTAAGGGCACCCAAGAGCACCCATGGGCCCAAGGGCACCCAAGGACACCCAAGAGTGCCTAAGAACACCCAAGGGCACCCAAGAGCACCCAACGGCACCCA